TCTCAGTTTCAGTCCAATGACCAGAATTTGTATACAATCAAGTGTTTTAGTTTATGAGTTTTGGGGTACAGAAATGGTCAGGCAGCCCACATTTTCCTGCAAACCTGGCACCCTGTTTTAGATGTGTGCACTTAAGACCATACTGCTCCCCATAGGATACTAAACAATGTCACTCAATTTTTAATTGGTAAGATTCCTTTCTGTCAAGAGCATTCATTTAATTAACCAAGTACTACATGGTTTTGATAAAGAAACCCAGCATCACAAGCAAAAAGATATCTCCTAATTTAAATCCTTGAAAATTAACATGAAGAAACAAGAATGGCAGGGTTATTTATATTTTATCTCTCTGAAAATATTTCTGATTAAGCCCTTTCACAAGTACCTCCTGAGCAATGAACAAGTATCCCCCCTATGTTTTTAAATTCCTCAGGAGTCCTGAGAGCAGTACCAAACACTGCTGGGCTTTCACCTTTTCCCTTGTGCCCCCTTGCCCATCCTCACCACACACCAAAGTGCCCGCTTGCAGAGACAAGGGAGAGCACACACAGGAGATTCCTTCAGACAAGATGTGACTCTATTCTCCTTTCCGCTCTCCCCTGTCCCCGCAACATGGACAAACTCCTGGTGCCTGTGCTTCAGAGACTTTCAAATAAGTTACTGAAGGCACTGCCACACTCAGAAATGCATTTTAAGTTGAGGTCACACCATGGGCTCTGGCTGTGCAGTGGCCAGCGGTGCACATGGGGATTTTCACTTGGCTTTAAGCTAGAGTGTGTGCTTGACTAGCACAGGAGCCCAGGGCTCAGTATGTGCTGGCCAGAGATCAGCTCTGCCTGGATCACAGACAGCTCTGCAACAGTGCTCCTAGGAATGAGCTGTACACCAGCTCAGTAATTTAGTCATAGCAGCAATTGTGACAGAAGCTCAATAAGAACCTCTCAGACACCTTGGAAAAGTGAGTTTGTGGAAAAAAAGGGTATCAGACCACCACAAACAGATCTCAGCTCCCACCTGGCTGCTGAAAGATGCTGCTGCTTTGCTGAGATGCAGCAACTGACAGCCCACCTGTTCTTGGTTTCTTGCAAAGAAAAGAGGTGAACTCTGTGAAGGGTCCAGGCAAGCCTTCTTTATTTCACATCTGCACCAGTGAGGGACAACAGTTCACAAGGTCAGTAAGTGCCTCTCAGCAGAGGGGCAGAAATTAAGACACCAAACCACCACTCGACATAGCTGGATCATAACTTTTAATCTGTTAACTCTGCATCCGCAAACTATATACAAAGCAAGTGCTCAAGTGAAGGAAGAGGACGAAGTTCTGGAGAACAACTGATGCGTAGTTATCTTAATCCCCAAGATACAAAAAGCTGCCCAGCAAATGGAGGCAGCAAATATATCCCCATAATGAAGTTCAGGAGTCCCCCTATTTAAGGGAGTCACAAGGGTCACCCACAGTGTGAATGCAACCCTTGTGGACAGACTAAGTTCAGTAAGATCACTGCGGACTCTTGCAATGAATCTTAAAAATGGATCTATGTGGAAAAGGAACAACTGAGACTAGGAACACCTATTAACTATTCTTTGGTAATTTACTCACCTTGGACTAACACCAGCAGCGCTGATGAAGGAACCAAACAAATGGACTCACTTCTTTACCACAATACCAGGAATCACCCGAGAAGAGCACTAGCTATTCTCCCTGACTTGACTGTACAAGGGAGAAAACTGGAGGAATTACCAGGAATTGGGTGTTTGGTAAAGGTGAGCACCACCCTCATTGCTGTGCTGAAGTCCACACTGCACAGTAGCTTCTGCTTCCTTAGGAATGTCCATCACATAACAACCAACTGCTACTGATGGGTTCCTACCCAGTACATACAAGCTGGGTATTACCAAACCTATAATTAAGTCAATAGTTTGATTACCTGCGGTTATGAAGACTGAAAAAGCAATACCCAAAGATATCCAAACTAACATGGTAGTCTACTGAAAAAAGCTGAGCAGTAAAATTAACTGCTTCCTACACTCACCAGCAGCACAAAAGATCCCATATAACTGAAAAGTCAATAGCAGGAAGAAAAGTCCGAAGATCTGTTATGATTAAAGTTATTTTCTCTCCTTCATGTGCCAAATGCGAGATAAACCAGAGTCTGTTTCTCCCCACAAACAGACCATGACTGTGTAATCTCATCAGTCAAACACGTACAAGGGCAATTGCCCAGTTCTACAGCCTGAGCCAGCCTCAAAGGTCTGTCCAGTCTAAAATAAAGCAAACTGAAGGGCTCAAGCATGCCTTGACAAAATGCCAGCAAGTCTATTTCTGGTCGACAGAGGGCACCTCTGCAAGTACAGTATTGCTACAGTATAGACTGGGGTGGTTTGGGGTGAAGGAGGCAACCCCAAACAGGACAACTTGGGAGCGCAGGAAAGAGCAAGGGAGAGAAATCACTAAGAAACACAGGAAAAGATAAGGTCTGAAAATGTGCATGCCACTGGGTGTCAGCCAAGCACGCTGAGCTGTTCAAGAAGCTACTGAAGTGCAGCCACTGGACTGAACTCCATCCACTGCAGGGGGTGTTTCTGATGTGAGCAGTGGGGTGCACCCAACTCACCTCTATGTGGAGATCAGAGGTTCCCTCCTGTACAGCCATCCCTGCACGTCAGCGGGAAACCCCTGCGTTTCTCACCATTATTCTGGATTTCAATTTTGGGATCTAACCCAACAGAGCAACAAAATCAATTCAAGGAAGAAAATCTGGCTTTTTCTCCTATTTCTCCTATCACTTATCTTTGCACAGTTGGCATATGACCACCTTTTTCTGCCTCAGTTTCTAATGCCAACTGGACCAGAAGTGACATATGACCAACCACAAAATACTCTGAAACACCTGTATCACTACAGATGTAGCAGTACATCTACAACCACTTAAAACCACTGAAACAGGCTAGAAATTAAGTTCTCTGGCCCAATTTGTTTGCGTGCTTGCAGCACTATCTGGTTTGTTTCCAGTTTTCAGGGGTAATTTTCATACAACAACAAGGATGGCTCCCTCCCCATGAGGAGCAATCTTCACAAAAAAGCACCCTGAAAGCGGAATACACAGAAGCATGTGAAAATTTAGGAATTTCACATACTTTTCCAGATTCTTCTGAGAATTGTCCAAAGCTTTTTATGGGAAAAAAAAAAAAAGGAGAAGGGCACTCACACTACCAGGCTTTAGGACCACACACTGAGGTAACGTGAGGAAATAAGAGTCAGCAGCAAGGAACTATTTCCAGGGATGTCTCTTCAAAAACCTAGACACTCTGCTGACTCTGTAGGGAGAGCAGCCTCCATGTTTGAGGCTGAAGCTGAAGCCATACAAATAGCCTTTTTGTCCCCTCACCCAGACCTGCGATATGCTCCAACAGACAAACATCAGGGCTGGGATTTCCAGACCAGGAGTTTTCCTTTGGCACTGGTGACACTAAGTGCCTAACCAGTAACTGTTGTTTCAGCAGAACTGGAGGATGCTCAAGGGTCTAGCTTCTTTAAAAAGGAGAGCATCACCTCAAACAAAGCACAAATAAAAAACCCTAAGCAAAACATGTTCTCTGTGACAGAATGATCTTACACAGTAGCTGGAGGAGGATCCTGACATACTTAACAACAAGAACAGAACAACACTGGCACCATTATAACATCTTTAAAAAACGATGAACAACTCTAAACTGAGAGCTCCTTTGCTACCCCATGGTATATAATTTGCCCCTTTTCAGAGAAAAGCCTGAATAGCCACATATGCAGCGCTGTGAATTGATTCAGTTTAAGCAACAAACCCAAAAGGAAAGTAGAATTATGAAATGCTACAAGCACCCATGTCAGTGCTCAGTAAATTATACTTCTGAGGCTGGTGCACATTTGGGAGAGGTGTTCTCTTGCCTGGATTTCTACCTAGATGGGACAGAACTGCATCCCTAGCAGGATTTCCATCCAAGTCTCCACTACCAACTGGAAATCAGGCCTGAGTCTCACTGCTTGGCGTTACTGATAAAGATACTGAGGTCAAAGACAAGAGGGACTGCAAGGACACATGCAGACTAGCTTCAGGCAGTCTGGCAGGAACTGCCTAAGAGACTGGGGCTACTCTGCAGTGGTGGCTGTGATCTCCAGCAGAGACAGGAGAGCAGAGCATGGCCCAGCCTTGTCTTTCTTCTCAGCTTCAACCAACTGCCCATGCGGCACCAGTGCAGTGAGGTACAGGCACATTCTGCTCCACTGGTGACAGGGGCAGGGAAAAGGCACTCATCCCAGCAGAGGACAGAGGTATCAGTAACAAGCTGAGTCTGGTGCCTGCCAGGAGGGTAGGAGGAGCACCGTGGAGTCCTTGCCTTTCAGCTGGGTATGATGGTAATGATGATGAGACCATCACCCTGGAATGCACACGCTTCACAGCTGGACCTGAGGGGAATCAGACCTATTCTCCCTGCCCAGTCCCACGTGAAGCTCGAGGGAGTTTGAATGCAGAAGGCAGCAGGGGATTTGGGAAAACACCGAGCCTCTTCTGCAGAGCAAGCAGGATGACAGCAGATGCTAGCGCAGTGTTAGCTAACAGCAAGTTATCCTGCTACATGGAAAGCTTCTAGCCTGCATTAGTGAAGTTTGAGATGCACTCTTCAACGTTGGAGAAATAAAGCAAGAGTTTATTTATTTATTCCATTAGCTTATTAAGAGAGATGAACAACAAAACAGCTAAAATGAGAAAAGTTTCCACATCCTGGGACATAAAAAAATCCTGGGTTTTAGGCAGTTAATGAAGAACCCATAAGCTACTGCAGCAGCATGCTCAGGAAGATTGGCTCATCTGGAAAACGGATAGACGTAGTTCATTTTGAATGACAAGAACACTCATGTCCCTAGGGCCATTTCCTCTCAGCATCTCTGTGGGCCCTCAATGTAATGTCACCCTGCAATAGCCACACAGCAGAACAGCCTACGCAAACTCCAGTTGTGCAAGCCGATACCTGGGACAGGCAGAGAAGGAACAGAAAAATCAATTTTTGCTCCTGACACTGCTGAAAATTACAACTACAAATGCACTTTTGAGAACTCCTGCAGTCCTGCAGTTTGGGCTTGACGGGCAATACCCCTGGATAATCTGTCCCTGGGCTCCAATGAGTACAACTTAAAATTACCATATTCCTCTATGTATAAACAGTGTCATTAGACTTGTACTTTTAAAAAATAAGATCAACCCAGGCCAGGGCCAGGCTCTGCAGATAAAGTAGTAGCTTATCTCTTATAAATAACTTTAATATTTTTTAATTACAAGTAGTCCTCACTCCAGGTAATGTAACTGACACAAAGTACCTGCACACACGCAGCCCCTAGACTTTCACAGAAAGCCCAGGAGCAACCACTCTATAAGAAAGGAATCCTACCTCACAGCAAAGGAGGGGAGGGGGAACATGGCCAGGACAGCCTAAACGTGGAGGAAGAGTCATTTGGAGTAAATACAATAAAAAGGGATTTCAAAAACCCTTCATATAAAGGATCAAGGAGGTTGAAACAAAGAACTGGTTCAAAAAGATGTACAAAACTGTTGGAGACCAACAGAAAACTCTGCCAAAAAGTAACTTGCATTTAAACCAGAAATCAATGGTGTCACACAATTCTGTTGTTAAAAAAAGGAAAAGAAGAGTGGAAATCTGTGTAAAGATCAGCATTTATAAAGAGCTGTCATTAGCTCCAGAGACCAGCGTAGTTCCCGTGAAGTCCGGATGGAAGGGGGCCTCCTGCCACAAAGAGTTTTGTTCCAGATAAGTCATAGCAGTGGGTGTAAACAGCATTTGGGAAGAAATTTATGTCAGAAAAATAATTCCTCCAGGTTTCATCATGATTCTGTTAAAGGAAAGTTTAGATTGTTATTGTTGCCAAACAAATCCAAAACCTTGTTTCACAAAAGCTAAAGGTAGCTTCCAGAGCCTAAAAAGGGACTTTTCTGTTAATACTTCCTGAAGCTTCAGACAGATCAACCTGAAGATACCAGAGTTGTCCTGAAGCTTTCTGTGAGGACATTTGGGCCAAATGTAGGGGTGAAGGGGAAGAGTAGGTAAGACACCAAGTTTAATTAGTTTATAAAATTACATCACAATGATAGAAAACATAATGGAGAGAAGTTAAAAAAGAGCCATTAACTGCTTTGTGATAACCTACAAGAAATCGAACTCAAGCATCTGCTGTGGCAGTACTTCAGGAAGCTACAGTTGCTAAAATTGCACACCATTAAATTAAATCTCTCCAAGTACCACGTTACAGTACTATGTTTTTGAAGAAAGACAACGTATTTTGTTTGAGGTTCTGAAAACTGGAAGATAGATTACATTCGAAAACAAAATGATATAAAATCTAGTTCATTCACGAATCAGTGAACAAGAAAAGTAGTCAGTATGCCTTAGACTCAAGCAACCAACCATTCAATACCCTTTCATTAAGCTTTTGTGGAAAGCAAATCTGCAGAACCTCTTGCTTTTCATCATTACAGCTACCAGTTACATGATCAATGTTTTGCTAGGAAGCGTTTCATATAATAGCTCCCATTACTTCAAAAAGAACTGCTTTGAGCCCTAAGGCACTCCGTGCAAAAGGTCACCTACAGCTACAGGCCACTCACCAGCCAGCCTTTCCCAGTAGTCAGCTTCAAAATTTCACTTCCTCCTAATTTCTGCTTGTGTCCGTAGCAGGCACGTGGAGGCTTCTCATCCAGGAACCTCTGGGCTCTGATATCGTAGAACAATAAGGAGCCTTGCCCTGTTCCCACTGTGATGATGTGCTCGTAGAAGCTCACTGATCGAATACCTGTCAAACAGAGAATGGACATACAACACAGTAAGAAAGGTGGCTGCTTTGGCTCGGGAGTGCTGCTGCTTGATATCTTGTGTTTTCTTCAAGAGGAACTACCTACTAGTATTCACCACAACACACAAGCTTGCCCACTGCTACGGAGCAGTGCAGACAAATCCCATGGATGCTGTTGAAACAGCAGCTTCAATTACATATATTACTCCCCTTCTCCTCTGAGGCCATCAGCTACACTGATGGTGCGCAGTAAGCAGCGTCACTCTCAGCAAGCCCCAGCTCTGCCAGGTAAGCAAAGATCGTAACTCATTTAGGATCAAAAGCAGCTCTGTTCTGTCTGCCACGAGCCTCTCAGTGAGCACACCGCGAGTGAGTACACAGCAGCAGAGGAAAGAACGTCACGTTGGTTTCCTCTGAGAGATCACACCCTATCCAGCTCTCTGCCAAGCTGCGATAAGCGACTACGTGAGAAAAATCACTGTCCCAGCAGCCAACAAGTGCATTTAGCTGATCAACAGGCCAGCTGTAGGCAAGTATAACCATAATAATGGCTAGTTACTTTTCTGCTGAGATAGATCAGACTCTTAAATAATTTCAAAGCTATCTCCACTCAAATATTCTCACACAAACACACCTTACTTTTTGTAGCTGGCACTTTTAGTACTTCACCCAGCCATGGAAACAGACTAGTAATCCTACAACCTAACCAAGCCTGTTACACCAGCACATGAGAAGTTACAGCAAGTTTCCAGTGCAAGCAAAACGTTTTTGCACAATTCAGTTATGCCATTACATTGAGTAAAAGGAGTACATTTTGTTTTCACAAAAACTAAACCTGCAGACTCAGCTCAACAAGGATTCCTTGGAAACAGTCTTGGGGAGATTCTGTATGTAGGAATTGGCAATTTGCAAAAGTTCTTGTCATCTCATCTCTATTTATTGTGCAAAAGGTTTGTTCTGTGTAAGCAGTCTACCCCAAACAACCCTTCTATGCAGATTAAACCCTGCCATGTCTATGCTTTTCCTTCCTACACAACATGATGCCAGGTTATAAACTCTAGGGCTTTTAAAGCCCTCTTTAAAGTACCACTGAATTACACCCTAAACAAGCATTCAAACAGGGGGAGGAGTGAGTTGTTATGCCAGCTACATCCACGTGCCAACTGCTGTCCTTCCACCTCCGCCAGCGTCTGAGACAAACGCTCAGAACAGGCAAGGCCAAGCTGCGGTGCTCCGGATGTGAGCTGAAGTGTTGGCTGCAGGCTTAACAGGTGGGAAATCACAGTGCAAGTCTCACAGCTGCTGAATTAGAGCTACCAAATTAATATAAGAATCTCCACTTGAATTCAGAGAACTACAAATGCATCCGAGCAAGTTGGAGACATCCTCCCGCCTCACTCCCGATTACAAGGGCTTGGCTCTGGCAAATACATACAGAAACCTTAAAGCCCTCTGTAATGAGCAAGAGCACTTGGTTAACAGAAGAAAGGCATAAAAAAGAAAGCACAAGAAAGGACCTCTTATTTTTGCTCCAAAAGTGCTCTTGACAAGAAACGCAGCAGAACACTTCCTTAACAGAAACAGGTGATGAAGTATTAAAGCAGATGGCATATACTTTTCCGTGGAATTTATTAATAAAAAGCTGTAAAATGCAAAAAACCTGTGCATCTCTCTCTAATAAGAAAATAATTAACTGACGGAGTCTGTGACATACCCACTACTAAGAGGATGTTCAGCACTTCAACATGACTCCTAAAGGGCTGAAGTACCTCAGATTAACCATTCCCATCAAACTAAAAGCACAACCCATGCCTAAAAGTGATCACAGTAAGCTCTCCAACACAGCCAGCACTCTGCCACTTGTGGACCTGGACTATTTGGGCCAGCAAATTGACTCTCACTCCCGAGAGGCAGGGAGGCTCTGCAAATCTCAGAAGGAAGTGAAGACACAGCAGTGTGCCCTACACAAGGGGCAGATACAGTCTATGCTGTGCAAGCTCTGTCCCTGACATTAACATTGCTGCCTTCAGGATATAAAGTCAAGGGCACACCACATTTCACTGCATGCCAGCTGAGCAGAAAGCAGTTACTCTTGCAGATAGGAAACCAGATCCAGGGCCTGCACTTCCCCATACAGCTGCTAAGAAAAGCAACTCTTACAAGATGCACTACAAAGCATTAGCTACCTTCTCACGTAGAGCAGACAGGGTTACACTGGGTAAAGACCAGCACCAGTTCCAATCTTACTGAGCGACAACCTTCCTCAGACCTGCTTCTGTATACAGCACTAAGGATCTCAAGTTAACGTAGGCTTGCCATGTTTAGCAGGGACATTTGGAAGCTGAAATCATGTTTGGTTAACACTTGAAAGGATTTAAAATTCAACCCAAATTTTAGTCTACAAATCAACAGCCTACTTTCCAAAGGTACTGCACCACTCCATGTCCCACTGGGATCAATAGAAAGTTGAAACACTATTTTGAGAGTTAATATTACTTCCTGAGTGCCTCCACCACACCATGGCAAAACAAAAGAAATCCACCTACTATGCAGAAAAGAAAACAGCACTGAACAACGGCTTTCTGCAGACATGAACTGGAGATGCCCCAGAGACACCACCCAAACATAGATCACAACCCCTGCAGGGATGATCGCATACTCAAGGCAGAAGCTTTCAGGCCCCGCTGGGCACCACACTCCAGTGCCTCGGTATTTCTTCCCTATGATACTTAAGGGTGACAATGTCAGGGCCTTGACAGAGCCGTCAGGGACAGCGGGTCAGGACAAGGGCTGTTTCTGGTAAAATGTTCAGGTAACAAGATAAGCTGGTGAAACATCTTTTCTCATACAGAAAATTATTCTGTATCTGAAAGGAGCAGATCCTAACATTTAGCTGGACAGCACTGTTAAAACTCCAGTAACCACATAAATAAAACTTCCCTAATCCTTGCCTATATGCATTCTCTTTTGATAACTCATCCGATGAGGACATGACGCCAAGAGCTAAGCTAAACATGGAATGCAGTTTACTAGTCTGGGATTAATACGGTTTAAAACGTGCATCACAGCCCATGCACCCAGCAAACCCTCACGCTTGGCCCTGGTGTAAGGTTCAATGTGACGTACTGCATGCACATAGAAGGGAAACAGCACCCGAACTGGCAAATTCATGTGCGGTTTGTTTTGTTGTTTTTTGTTTTTTTTTTTTTAAGAGTGAGCTTTTGTATATTTAAAGCAAACAAATACACACTGAAAATTAAGAGTCTAACTCATGGCTTTAAAATTACAAAGCAAGCATTCATTCACAGCACAGACTCCCAACATGACAGCACAGAGCAGACAAGCTTTTTTCCATTCCCAGAGAAAAATGCAAGAAAAGACAGCATAAATGAAGTACGAAGACTAGATTTGCTTTGAGATGAAGTAAACCAGAATGAGACATGGTAAAAAATACATAGAAATAAAACGCACACTGCTAAAAGTTCAGTAATATCTGAATGGTGTGCAATTTAGTTGATCATAAAAGCACTAATGTTTTCTATCATTAGACTTCAAAGTTGCTTTTACATTTTTTTTTGGTTGCTCAAGGAAAACTGTCATAAAAACGAAACCTACACATACTATTAATGATTTAGTCTATCATACGAAAAACCCTCCCTATTTATTAAAAGCTTATTTTACTGCAGTCTTAATAGCGACTTCTGCAAACAAATCATTTGAAGTACACATTTTTTTTCTTACCACTGCCTCGTTCTTTGGAACAGACGGATTTAACACTGTGAGAAGGCTGCCTGGGATCCAGAAAGGAGACGTGTGCCTGTGATCCTACTGCGTACACTGACCACTCCTGACCATAGGCCAAGCAAACGTTCTCCCTGCAGTATGGCAACTTTGTGGAAAGTAACTGGAAACAGAAGAAATAAAAATCAACATATGTTACGAGAAAAAAAGCAGGATGGTAATAGAGCAATTCTGTAAGCTATGTTCAAAGAAGATGCAGTGAAAAAACAAACAAACAACAGCTAAAATATAAGTACACCACAAAACCAGAACTTTAAGAGAAAAGCAACAACCTGACGCAGAGAAAAAAACCTGAAGGAGATGGGATGCCTTATCTGAACAAAACTGAGATTTATAAAAGCTGAAGTCAAGTATTATGCAAAGAGCAATGAACATTTTGGCAAGTTGTTTTAAATCTTTCTAAGCTGCTGTTATTTCTTCAGCAGGTGTACACAGACATCAGCTCTCAGCTAAGAAAAGCTTACCTCATACACTAGCGCAGATATGTCAGGGTTTGATCTGCAATTACACTTAAGTAAGTGTAGCTTCCTTTATGAACAGTGCTATCAAGTATCCACAATACTCTACATCTGCAGGCTTGGGGACGAGTGGCTGGAGCT